GCATTATCCACTTGTCATTTTTTAATTAATATTAACATTGTTACTTTAACTTCATCATTACATATAACGTAAAACTTACTTAATAAAGCCATATAGCAATAATCGCTATACTCTTACATGTATGCACAAATTCGTGTGTACACCCAACGCAACGTCGTCAAAACTAATCCAAATGGACTTAATTTCAATTTTTACCAGCAAATATTTCGCAAATGGACTGAATTTAGCGTGGTGAAGTGATTTTTGTGAAAAAAAATGTGAAGGAAATTAAAAATTTGAGGTTATGTGACCTCAAACACAGTGAATAAGTGTAATGCAAATTTAAGAAATGTGCTGCACGAATTAAATTGCTTAAGCACAACGAAATTGAAAGTGAAATTTATCGGCGCTTTGTTAACTCGAGTAGCAAATCGAATGTGGCAAGTGGCAAAATACCAAAAAATTGTTGCAATATGTAGTGAGTCGGAAAGCAATGTGTGCTGCACTTTGATATTTAAGTTACATATATGCCACTGTTCACTGTGATATGTGTAGGTTGCACGGTGCACCAATTACGAACTGTTAATGTCGATGGACACTCTTCACTGCGGTTATTTGCACAAGTTCAACTTTTTTTTTTTTTGTTTTTTCTCACAAATCACTTCAACTCGCTTGGATTCACTTTGAGGTTATATCTGGTAATTTTTTTTGTGCACTTGAATTTGTAACCACGTACCTTAGTTTCCTAGTAGCTGGTGAAACTGCTTGTTGGACGATGATGTTATCAGTGTTTTTCTGGTTCGTGGCACGAATTAGTGTGGCTGTGGCTGTAGCAGGATCGCTGTTATGTGCAGCTTGATGTGACCAAATTCCTTTTTCGTAGAAGTGGCCCAATTACTTTTTGGGTTCGCTTTTTCTTCTAATGTGGACTGTACGTTGGTTTCACGGCTCCTAAGGACCAATAAAAACGTCAATGTGACGCAGTGCGGCTCAAGTCAATGGTTTTACCTGAAAATAATGTGGCCTGGTAGCTGCAGTTCTTTCTCCTTGGTCTCCCGATGTGAAAGTGAAAAAATCTAAAGCCGTGATTTTCGTTCGAACCGCCGGACAAAGAAAAGACGTTGAGGGGAAATTCAACGAAAGATACTTTATCCGGCGGGAAACTTAAACTAACGGCGCGAATATATAATATACATACATGTGTACAAGTATGCATGCATAAATGTACACATATGTGAATGACACATTAGGGTGGTGCATTATATTTGGAAATATTTAGGCTTAAGGCCTAAACACTTGTAGTACAGACATGGGCACATTTACCCGTATGGGCTTGTTACGGGCAAGCGAGCCCATTTCGCGGGCTAGATCAGGGGAAAATCATGGGCAAACATGAAGGGGCAAGGAATCTTACTAGTCCCCGTATACCAATGAAAGCCACTGCACACGCATTCTGGAGTAAAAAGGCCCACGCTCCCAAACGTACGCCACATACACTCCTCGTCATTTGATTAGCTCAACCTTTTAATCATTAGTATTTACATTTTTAATTTTGTTTATTTAATATTCATTACATTCGATTTTAAAACTTTATACAGAGTTAAAAAATGTCAACAAAGGGGTAAAATAAAGTGCAAGTTTTAAGTGTCTGTAAAATAGCGGTGATTTTTGACAATTTATCTCATACAAATTATGCTCGGCAAAATTTTATGTGGAATAAAATACGCAACACCGTCAATAAAAAAAATAAAAAAAAATTAAAAAATCAGGGGTATTTTAGAGTCACTTGAAACTTGCCCTTCATTACACTATAATTGAATGGGATACAAAACTGCATTTCCGAAATTTTTCTAAAAATATTAACTTATTCACTGCAGGTCATTCGGTTGGCACACTCCTATGTTGACCGTTTTAAGAACTGTTTCCAGCTCTCAAGAAAAACGAAAAAATCATATAAAATGTTGCCGAAGAAATGGAAAAGAAATTTTCTTTTAAGTTTTAATTTGTAAAAAAATTAAAATTGCATTTACCCGTAGAATATGCTATATTTTGACAAAAAAATTATATTAAATAAACAAAAGGAAAACTGTAAATACTAATGATTGAAAGGGTGTGCAATTCAAATGACGAGGAGTATATATGAGCAGATGTGATCACTACCACAAGTAAACGCGAGCTGAAAGTGTGATTGTATTAGTGTGCCAATTACGTTTGAATGATTACCCTGGTAGACAGCTACTAGCTAAATCTCCCATGAATTCTCCAGGAGCGTTACCTTATGTATCGGGTAAAGTTTAAATGAGTTTCTTAAGGCCCGTGTGCAGAAATTACCATATAGTCCTCTATACGTGTGAGTTTTTGTCTTTTTTTAACACCCTAGTAAAATATGTCTTCTTATGTATAGCTTCTCTCTTCTTGTCGTGAATCTTGTTGAGTATCTGTACTCTTTTCACATTCACGTATGTCATACTCAGCCATATATAGCTTGTTCACTCTTTCAGTACTCCTACGAAGTGAATACCTCAATAACTACCGGTAGTCTTACCGAACGATTTCCGCACAACCTACTGGTAGTCTTACCAAGCGATTACCGCAAAACCTACCAGTAGTGTTACCAAACGATTATCCTATTCAAATGAAATTTTTTTCTTATCTTTTCGAACTTTTCATATTTTTAATTATTTTGTATGTTTTATGTCCCTTACATATTTATATCCAAACATATATATATATACACATAAATAATTTGCGCATAACAGGGTCCACTTCTCCAGAAGCGCGCTTCAGTGTATGTATGTGCGTTTTCTGTTTTAAAAAATAGTTACTTAGTTTCCACCATGATTTGAATGTTAAAATTACCATTGCAGTGGCGTATTCGTGCTCATTCAGCTTTTCTTCCACTTCCATTGCAGCATCTATTGTAAAAAACGGAAGTACGCTAGCAACTTCCACTATTCCTTCATCAACGATGTCGCCGGTCATTTTTCCAACTGACTGCTGCACCTTCGCCAAAATTACTTTACACTCGCGCATCAAGCGATTTTGAGCCATTGTCTCGTTCCTGTTAGCCATCTGAAATGGAATAAAATATTACCTGCAAATAAATCCAATATTTATTTATTTATTTATTTAACCCCCATTTTCACACAAAACCTTTTCCATAGCATCAATGCGATGATCAAGTACATCCAAGCGGCTTTCAACCTGTCTTTGGTTTTCCATTATTTTTTCGTCCATATCGTCCATTTCATTTTGAAAAGTTCGCTTGTTCATTATTCTTATCTTTATTCCTTTATTCACCTATTTTATTTTTATTTGATTAATTTATTTTCGCGACTGCGCATCTAACGCCAAACTTTGTTTTCTCAGAATATATGTAAAACTATGTTCCCATTAGCGTAATTTAGAGGTCAATCTTAATTTACGCATAAATTAAGTACAAACTAAGTAATTTCGCCTTGTAAAGTCTCTCAGTAAATTAAGTTGAAAGTACGTAGTTTATCTTAAACCAAGAACCAAATCACGAACAAATCTGTGTCGGCTCTAATTTTATCGATAATAATCGAAAAAAGTATTGTCCCATAACTCCTAGAGCTGTCAAACTATCGATAGTCAAGTCCATCGATGTTTTACGATAGTCTTAAGGGTGCCTATCGATACTATCGATAGTATCGGCCCATTTGAAATGTTTTTCTAAATCCATTTATTTTTCGTTATCTTGCTTTTATAAATTTGTTTATTCTAGCGGCTCACGGTTGCATTTTAGTATCGAGAAATATTGCTAGAAATTCATTCGCCGTGTAAACAGCCAAAAAGCGATTTCAGAATTTTCCCGCCTTTCGGAAAAAAAATTCTCTGACACTTTACATGCAAGGTGCGACTGCACATGCAAATGCTTTCTGCAATTTCTCAATTTGACAGTCTTTTGAAATATACTGCATTGCCCGGTCTGACACGCTCTTAAGACGGCAATGTAACCTCTGCTATTTCCACGCTTAAAATAAAAAATGGCGCTTTTAGAAATAATGCCATGAACCAACTAAACGGATCACCCAGTACGGCAACCGCGTAATTGCATTTGAGAAAAAAAAAATAGTTGACGTCATTTTTTAATCGGTTGTTTCATTCACACACATGGTTTCATTCTGTTTCATTCACATGGCAGCGAAAAAATGACGTCACTGCAAAAAAAAATACTTTTTTCTCGCACACCGTCCCGTCGTTCGTTCATGAAATAATGCTGTCAATTTTTGTTCTCTTTGAACCAGGAAAGAGAATACGCTATCAATGAAACGATAGTGGCGATAGTACTAAAACTATCGATAGTTATTTCAAGTGGCCAGACTATCGATACTATCGATAGTATCGTCGATAGTTTGACAGCTCTAATAACTCCACATCATGGAGAAGATGGCGTTGGAGTTGCAGGAGCTTGGCGCTATGTGCACTCCAAGCGAAATAAAATCGAAAATGCACAATCTGACGGCGAGATGTAGGTGAGACTTGACTCCATTATTTAAATAAGATTTTTTTTATCACACGATGTTTCAATGCAGGAAGGAGAAGAAAGAAATCGGACCATCGGGTGGGGCACCTTCTAAATGGCCTCTTTATATGGAGATGCATCAGCTTTTAGCACCGTATAAAAGCTACAATTCCGAAACCCTGGTCGAAGAAAGCACAAATGGTGAGATGCTTTGCATTTTAGGCCCCTGGGAAAACCTCCGAGTATATTTCTGACATGAAAAACCGCTTCTCATAAATATATTCGCCGTTCCGAGTCAGCGTAAAACTGTAGGTCCTTCCCTCCCCTTTGTGTGACAACACCAAGGCGCACGCCACGAATCGGAGGAGAAGCTCGGCTGAAAACTAACAAATTACGTTAGAGCCAATCTATTATTATCAGGTATGTTCTGCAAATGATTTCAAATCGGTGCGATTTGCAAATTATTGTTGTAGGTA